GCTCTCAGGTATTTAATCTTTTCACGTAATTGTAATTTATTCTTCTTGTTTCCTTATGGATTTCAAACAAAGATGTGACAGATATTGTTAGAGCTCTAGTGGGTTTCATGCTAAGCTATTCAAATTTTTAAAAATTCAAAATTTCAGGAAATGTTGAAGACATAGACAAAATATATTTTCTAAGCTGATTTCCCACAGGGAAAATAAAACAACAAAAGTTGTAAGACAAAAGTTTTTTTGGTTTTTTTAATCGTCTCTATTAACAGTATTTAGATATTGTGTTATACTCATAAGACAGTAATACTTGGAATATTTTAATTTGAGGACTGAATGAAAGCATGTTGCAGATATTGTCATGAGTTCCTAACAAGCATACCTGAGAGACAATGCCTTTTTTCTTTTAACAGTAAAAGAGTATTGTTTAAAAAAAACTGGAAACTTATGCATTATAGAGATTATTTTCATTCCCTATAGTCTGAATTACATTGTTAGGTATAAAAATTATATTTTTAAATATTGATCCAAACATTTATGAAATGTTATAACATTTTCATGTAATAATTACAATTAATACAATTATTGCAATAATTTCCTTAGTTGACTTTAAATGTTTTAATAACTAACTGATGGGGGCATATAATGTGTCTATTTTTAAGTCATTTTTGCAAACTGGAGGAGGGCAAAAACTTAAACTTAGTAACAGAATAATCCATAAATGCTGCGGAAAATTTTATTTATCAATAGTTATATAAGGAGCCTTGGTAACAATGGATAATGTCCTAGTTTGCTAACGGAAAGGTCAGTGGTTTGAACTCACCAGCTGCTCCACAGGAGAAAAGACCTGGCAATCTGCTTCTGTAAAGTTTACAACCTAGGAAACCCTATGTGGCAGTTCTACTCTGTCTCATAAGGTTGCTATGAGTCCGGATACAGTCTAAGGTGCACAAAACAACCACAATTATATAACTATAGACCAAGAAATATGATACAATGCAAAAGAAATTTTCTGTTCTCAAGAATTATCAGAAAGGACACTGTTACTATAGAATGTGTGATTAACTAGAAATATGCCTAATAATAGCCTGAAGTGGTCAGAAATGGATGGAGAAATAGACAGTTGAGTTTTTCATTGAAAGGTGTGTGAAATTTGGAAACGCAGGGTGGAATCAAGAGGCCAATACAGGAGAGGGAAGCAGCATGAATGAAGGCAAGGCCGTAGAAGTGAGCCCAGCTTTGTTGAGATATCCTGTGAACTCCCCCACCCAGCATAGTTTATACCTTTCCAGCATATCTTAATAGTTATTAAAATAGTAATACATTTTATTTATGCAAATGCATTTTGTGTTGATCACATTTAACACTATTCTTCTTCTTAGATACAATGCCTAATCCAAATGTTAAACTCTTGAGAGACCAACATAGAGTTGTCTGTGACTAAATA